CAGGGCCCCGTCCACCACAGCCGTCGCCAGCACCACAGAGTGGCAGGGCCCTGTGCACTGCAGCCATCACCAGCACCCACAGAGTGGCAGGGCCCTGTGCACTGCAGCCATCACCAGCACCCACAGAGTGGCAGGGCCCTGTGCACCTCAGCCGTCACCAGCACCACAGACTGGCAGGCACCCATTGCAACCACAGCCATCACCAGCATGACAGCCTGGCAGGGCCCCGTCCACCACAGCCGTCACTAGCACCACAGCCTGGCAGGCACCCATTGCAACCACAGCCATCACCATCACCCCATGGACTGGCTGGTAGCCCCTGCACCACAGCCATCACCCCAGAGCCTGACAGGCACCCTTCGCACATCAGCCATCACCATCACCGCACAGACTTTCAGGCACTCATTGCAACCACAGTCATCACCATCACCCCCTGGACTGGCTGGTAGCCCCTGTGCTGCAGCCATCAGCCCACAGACTGGCAGGCACCCATTGCAACCACAGCCATCGCCATCACCCCACAGACTGGCAAGTGGCCCCTGCACCGTAGCCATCACCAGCACCTCGCAGACTGGCCCTTCCAACCTTAAGGATTCTCTGATAAGGCATGGGACTGCATTAAACCAAGTCATTAATACTGGGTTATAGATGTAGAGTAGCTTCTCTTGTTTAATTCAGTGAGGACTGAGGGGAGATGACAGATGTTTGAGTTCTGTTTCATTATACCCTTTCTCTTTTAACAATGATTTACAATGCTTAGGATGGAGCAAGCACAGGTTCRGTCTTTTGTTGGGGTAACACAAGGCAGCGTTGTTCCTTGAATTTAATGGGATGAGGGAGAGAATAGTAGGTGAGGGCACAAGGAATACATTTAACACTGATCAACAGCTTTCAGTAGCTCACCACAGCTTCTGCTTTTCATCCGTTTTATCCGTTACTGATGCTGTTTAAAGCCAAGCACAGAATCCTCTGATTTGCACGTCCTCCACCACCACCATCTGATCAAGATGCAGATCACATGGAGCCCTGATGACCTCTGCGACTCTAGAGGCCTTTCAGCCCAGCCTCGGCAGGCTCAGAAGTGTCTTTTTATTGGAGATAAAGCCACAAATACAAAGCTTTCCTTCTTTGAAAGAACTGTAAATCGCTAGTCTTTCCCTTCTTGGAAAGTATCCTGCCAAGTACTGAGCAGGAAGTTGTCAGGCAGTATTTAAACAAGTAACACCARTGAGCAATGGAATTTTGAGGTCCTGCTTTATTCACAAGAATAAAAATATACACCAACATAATGCAATGTGAGTTGGTAGTCTGACATCTTTTACAGTTGGACTTTGTGGGTGTTTCATTAAACAAGGAAATACATGCAAATAAATATTAAATACAAGATAACATTCATGAAATTATAAATCTTTATAGCAGCAAGAATGGAAAAAATTTCATTTGCTATAAACTTTAAGTGACATAACCTGCAAGTGAATTTTATAGACAGTTGTATTTAATGCTTTTTGAAAGAATTTATCACAAAAGTGAGCATGAAGCTGCAAGGCACAAGACACAAACATTCACACAGTTCATCTGTTCCAGTGCTTTGGGTTGCTTTAGTTATTTCATGCTACTCAGGAATAAACGCGCACAAGAAATCCTGAAACGGAGGCATCAAGACTAACAACATAGGCCTGTAAAAGTTTTTTCTGATGTAGATCTCAAATACATTAGTTATTGGGATGGGGATTCTTTTTACTGAATTGTTTCATCAATACTTGAAGGATATTTTAAATGGTTTGAAGAAATGATGAGAACTTAAGAAGAAAAAAAGCACTAATACCTCCTGCCAGCCTAAAACCCTGCTTAATCTTGTTTATTAATTTGCTTGGGTTTTAACAAGCCATCAGTTAAGGGTAAGTTTGATGTCTGGTGCTAGAGCGATTCCTTGTGGATGTGAACCCCCTAATTCTCRGATGATTGGGAGGAACAAGAGCCTACCAACTCAGAAACAGCTTATATTGCTGAAAAAAAATCTTCCAACAATGCTTAAGAGCAGATTTGTTAACACACACAAAAAGGACTTTTGTTGTCCATTCCTATGCCTGTCCTCTCCAACTTATAATCTATATTTTTATATAGTGTATAGAATACTTTTTTCCCCAACATGTTAGTGAGTTAAAGCACTTCTGTTACTCCCTGTTGCCATAGAAAAACTATGAACTTAYGTACACAGCTGCACAGGGAGCAGAGCCTTGTCTCCAGTTTGCACATAACCAAGCAGGCCTGGGAAAAGCAGCATCCACTCTGGAATATTCACAAATGGACTTAYTCCCTCCAGTGTGCACTGCTAAACACAGTATTTTCATGTGTCATCACACTGCCTTTTCACCTACCAGTGATTTTATCAATGTCTTCCTATTCAAAGGATTTAGGGATAGATGTTAAATAAAAACATGAAGTACAATTCTCTGCATTCAGGAAGCGAATCAGTTAAAATGCAGGACAGCAGTTAACGTACATACAGGTATGTAGTAGTCAGGGATTACATTAATGCTCGCCCTACGGAGAAGCTAGTGCTCAAACCTGCAGAAGAACCTGAGATGCTTCACTGCAAAGGCCACTCTGCTCCCGCCGCYCCGAGGAGGTGGCCTGGAAGCCGCTGCACAGCGGCCGGCGCGCTCGGCACGGAGAGGCCGCCCCGAGAGCTGCACTGGATTTCTGCACCCGCGAGTCGGCTTCTCCCCCAGAGCTCAGTTATGCCTTATAGCAGAATAAGGTAACCCTTCCTCTCTAACTCAATTCCAATTTGATGATTACAAAACTAATTTGCCCCGTAGGTAGTCTGGATTCTATTACAATGATTAAATAATTCCATGCAAAGCAATCTAGCTTCAAGCAGGAAAGATGTTGACTTGTGCCCTAGAATATTCAGTGATTTCCCTGGCAGTGGAGGATGAGAGTTTGAAGTCCGAAGACAGACTTAAATGTAACTTCCATCTCTGCTGATGAGCCTTAACTGCAAGGCTAGTGGTGGAAGCTACTGATCACAAAGGGGCTCTGGGCAGGGCTGCTCTGCGAGCCAGTCCTTGCCTCCTCAGCTATAAAGGGATCCTGAAAGACTAAGCTGGATAAAGCTGTGTAACGCTTGGTAATAAGCGAGTATTGTAAATGTACTCTGACTTTTTCCCCCCAGCATTAACTCTTGTAACCATCAGCAGTAGTTAAAGGTAATAAGTAGTTCAGATGCATTCACTGTAAGAGTCCCTACAGTTTCAAAAGAAGTAAAAGATATATTTGCTTTTCCAAGTTGATGAAGTCCGGTCAGAGATGCTGTGGCCACAAGCTTGCTTCTGCAAGCCTGCATCCACAAGAAGCAGAGCGTAGCTTTGAAAGACAGCACTGTTTTGGTGCACAGGCCATTATCCAGTCCCAGTTTACACCTGTGGGCCACCTGGAGTTGAAGAGTACAGGGTAAAAGCTGAAGGGCTGTGCATGCAGGGCGAACAAACCTCCATCAGCATCGGCAGGGGATGACAGGCRACTCCTAATAACAGGAGAGGGCCCTGTTGGGCACTGGTTTGGAGGGCTTTGCTTAGCCTTGCTGTAAAGTGAAGACTRAAGAACAGCATTTGGGAACAGGCACCCACACTGTGCACTGCTGCTGCTCTAGATCTTCAGGACYCTGTTCTTCACCTACCCAGAAAACATGGTATGTATAGTTTCAACTTAGCACTTTGGGAAGCGCTTACTACAGAACTGATTCTTTCCTAAAACACGTGTCCTGCTAAGCTGTTCTTTCTAAAACTGGTGACAGCACCTTGCCCTCTTCCTTTAGAAGCCTAAATGTATTTTTGGCCAATAATCATATTCTGTATCTTTGTAATTTAATCAGGCAATMCCCCAGCTCGCCCACTCACAGTAATAAGCCATTGACCCTGTGGTTTCAAACTGGATCAATGCTATGCCTAAGTTTTGGACACCTGGAGGCCTTGTGTACAAATAGGAAGAAACTCTCTTAACTTACTTTAGACATGATCAATTTTTCCTCAGATGTGGACATTAGATTAGCAGGTAGCTTTCCCTAGAAACCTTTGTCTACCAGCCTGCAGGCAAAGAGCAGCATACACTTAAGTTCCTTGCTGGAGGTGGCCTACTTTGCACCAGTTCCTTGGGTATTTAAGGGTTTTCAGGTATATTTTACAGTTCATTTTTCACAATCCGGCTCACTTGTAGAAATCCTAGCTGAATGTGGCCTGACAAGTGGCAGCATAGACGCTGCTGCCCACCGTGCCCCCACAACTGATGCTGTTGGCTGGACACTTCAGCGGTTTCATACTGCTGTCCCTCTGGACGTACAAGTGCTCCAATCGCCAGCGCTCCCAGCTCTTCCGAAACTCCATCTGAACCTAGCACAAGCCAAGGAGGAAACAAAAGACATAGAAATAGTCAGATCTTGAAATGATTCCTCTAGAAAAGGGCAAGGAAAAAAAAAAAAGGCCAGTCACTACTTACACTACTTTCAAATGCTGGCAGTGCTTTAAGCCTGGAATATTATTGCTTCAGATTATTTATTTTATTAGTCCATCATGGGCTATTCCACTTTAAAAATAATGACAGCATTCACTTCTGCTGTTGAAATAAAGCTCTGTAATGCTACAAGACATCAGAAAATCTTATCTTGATTATTTTCTTCCTAATGGTATTCTGCCATAATCCTGAATGTACTTTA